CCAAAAGGTACAGGCAAAGACACAATGATAGATATTAGACAAACACCACTTGGAGTTCCAGGTCTACCCTGTAGTTAAGTATGTCATTTAAGGAGGCATACATTAAAATCACAGAAAAATTAAGGTGGAAAGGTCATCTAGTGAAACCTGTGCTGCTCCAAACAGGACCAACTTCAATATCAGATCTGGCTTTAAAGCTGGAATTGGCTATTGTCATCAACTACTTTGCTATTGAAATCAAATGCTGCAATATGACCTTTGGGTTCTTAGATTTTAGTCCCAGCCCCTCCAGATTAATCATGCTATTTAACCTCTTGTAGCTAGTAATTTTTGCAGATGTTGGAAAACAACAATTTATCATGTTCCAAAAGTGCAGGATTGGTTGCTTTGAAAAAAACCAGTGAACTGAGGCCCATTAATGTCAATAAATCATACACCTAGTAATTAAAGTGAACACCACAAATGTTGACAAAAAAAGAACTCCATATTTAGGATGTGACACAATTAAGGTTTCAAGTACAACCTCTTTTGCATATGCATTATGCTACAAATTCCTTAATTATATAGTTAATTTCTGCTCTTTTCCATACAGTGGACAGAATGAACCATATTTGCGTGGTGAGCAACTTTGAAGTTGGGTTCTATTTGCTTGCATGAAATATGCTTTAAGCAGAAAACTTCTACAAACCTTACTCTGAAGGCAGCATGATCAGCTTGCTCACACACTTTTAACGCCACCCAGTACAGCAGTACCTCATCACTTCAAAAGACATGTGTGAATTACCATCTTCAAAACGCAGGTGAGCTAAATATGTCCATTCTACAGACTGGTGGCCAAGCAAGGCAACATTGCCACCAAAGGCTTTACCTAAATTTGTTTTTCACATTCAAAAACTCAAAGAACTTGTCGATGATCTCTAAGGTCCCTTCCAACCCTAACCACTCTATGATTCTGTTTTATAGATAATTCTATAGTAGAGAGGTATGCACATATACTCACACACAGAGAGTTACCCATGCGCTGTAGTCAAAGGGACACAGGACATGCAGTTAAAGACTGTTCAGTACTTAAGTACAGCAGATTTTATATCTGGAAGTGAGGGCCTTTAAAAACATGCAGGTAATTAGCCAGTCATCATGCAAAGGGCAGAGCACATCACTTGTCCAGAACTGTTCTGTATAGTAATGAACCTATATAATAAGGCCACATAAAGCTACTCAGGCAATTTGAAATCTGGCATTCCCAACTGTTCTTTGGAGTGGGACTTCAGTAAATATTGCCATCAGGGAGGTTCAGAGATACACTTCCTTAGCCTTCTAGAAAAAAAACAACTTAAAATGAGCCAATTTATCCATGTGTTATTATACTGTTATGAACATAAAACAGAACTGGAGATTCTAGGGCTGCCATAGAGACATCTTTCCTCTGAACACTGAACAGCTGTAGCCTAGTGGTAGATCAGCCTCATTAATCCCACAAGCTTAAGACAAAGACCACATGCCTCCAAAAAGAAGGTGGTACAGATGAAGAAGTTGGGAACAGTCCATCTGTGGAAGGTGGCTCCCTGTCCCCTTGCCCTTTCTCTGATGGGTGAAGGTTGGCATGGACATTCAGCATGGTGCTGCAAGCAACTGGAAAGCATCCTGGTAGGCCAGGATACCTGGCTTGCTTCTTCCCCACACAGGAAACCCAGATGACCCCAAAACCCTTGTGCCAGCCCCTCACTTCTGCCAGTCATGAAACAGGTCTGTACTGGTAACTTCTTCTACCACAGCTGCCACTCTGCAGCCAGGCCCACTCCATCTCCCAGACTGGGTGCCTTGCTCAACTAGTCCCAATACCCTTGTCAACCTCTTGTTCATCTTCTTACATCTTCCTTGACTCAGCCTCTTGGCCATTTCCTTGTCTCCCAAGCTTTTCACCTCTACCCTACTTCCTACATCTTCCTTGACTCACCCTCTTGGCCACTTCCTTGTCTCCCAAGCTTTTCACCTCTACCTCATATTCTGGTCTTCAACTGAAGTGGCCAGTCTCAACTAGCTCCCTGTCGTCTGTTGGGCAGCCCCTATCACCGCTTTTCACCCCTACTTTCAGCCTTCACCCTCAATACACTCGCTTTTTTGGACCCAATTCTATCCATCCTTCCCAACTCACATTCACAAGTCAAGACAAAGCTGCCTCAACACTTCCCAGATGCAAGAAGAGTCCTGACAGCAGAGGACTTGAAGTCTCTTAGTACAGGTTCTGCTCAAATTCATACCCAGTGAACAGCAGCCCTGTGTAACAACTGTTCACCTTGGTTCTAAGCCAGACTTGTAGTGAACTACGTGTGCACGTACGTATGTATGTAGCAAACTATGAGAATTCGAGCTAAGGTCACAATGAATTCATCAGCAATACTCCAAAAGGCTTATAACTTTGCCAAATTTGAAAACAAAATGTATTCGACTCAAAATGGCAATCACATTGGTGCTTTCAGCTAACCACAAACGCAGAGTAAGTTTTATACATAAATGTAAAATTATGGACTGTGCATGCCACATTAAGGCTCTTTGCATGCATCCCCCCATTATACAAATCGTCTTCTCCCTCAAATCCAGGTCGTCTACATACCCACTTTACTTCACATGACTTTGCTTATAAACAGAACTGATATTTTTTCAGAGGACAATTATTTCACCCCTTAAAATAAACAAAAGATAAATTTCAAACCGAGGGATGGATGCACACGGCTTTAAGAACAACTTTTCATGTTCATTAACATTTATCAAGTATACCACGGTACTAATCCACACTGCTCTTACTTCAACAGTTGCGCTCTTCTCTGTCTCTTTTTTTTGATGATCACCATCTCATTAACCAGCTACAGGGTTATGTTTCTAAAAGATGAATGCATCTCACACAAAGGATCCCATATTAATGATTTATGACTGTCACTCTTCAACAAGCCTGCTTGCCATGTCTAAAATCTAAAATTTATTTTCTTCTCCACTCTTATCAGTGGTCTGTTTGTTATTCCATATGTTTGAAAAAAAGCTTTCCTCTACTCCATAGTTATATCTTGATTGCCCGTATACCTTGCACTTCCACCACAGCACCGGTCAATTGATGCTCTCTTTATCCAGTCACCTGCTGTCATACCACTCATACAAAGAAAATCATCAGGCCCACAACAACATGCCTCACAAGCTTTCCCAACCTCCCCCTCACCATTTATTTTTTCCTTCTTTTGATGATCGCTTTCATAACTCCAGCTTTCATGTTAGTTCATACAGAACATTAGCACTTCTCAGCTACCCCGCTAACAAGCATTAGGAGCCCAGCTTTCCTACGCTAGCTTAAAAGAGAGAAGCTACCAGCCACCCTGAAGAAAGCTGCAGTATCCCAATCACTACGTGAGAATACTTTCAAAAGCAGGAACAAAGCAAGATGTAGGCTCAACCGAAAAAAAAAAAAAAAATCAAAGACTTCCAAGTTATACCAGTGTTATAGAATGAGGTAACCTTCAGGAGATTAATCTCCAAAATATAATTCAGAACAATTCCGATACCTTCAAAAGCATTTAAGAAATAATTTTTAAAGAAAAAAAAGAGAGAGAGAACATTAAACGTGGACTTATGGAAATCAGTCAGGACACAACACAGCAGACCTGTCCTCCTAAAGGCCACATCTCTCAATGGTAGTATTTCTGCATGTCTGCCACTCAGTTATGGACAACAGTATTGCACCTCTACAACGTCTTCCATTTATCCTGAAGTGTCAAAGAAAGTATCTGTAGAACTTTATTCTCAGTCTACTTGGGGGATCCTTTTATTTGTCCAATTTCCTTCATTCATTCATGAGCTGCAACATGATTGACATCTTTTCCATCAGAATTGTACAGTAGCATGACAAGCTAATTATTACATAAAAGATGATACACAATACCTCTTCAGGTCAAGCTACAATCCCCTATTTGGATGTCATTTTTAAAACTGCAAACTTTTAACAATTTGTGCATCATTCTAGTCCAGACACTATGCTCTTCAGTTTCAGAGGTTTCCTGAAAATTAAGATTTTGCTGCTTCTATGTGTAGTTTTTGGAGAACGCTACCAGTACTGATAATAAACACTGCTAACCCTTATTCTGCAGCAGATGAATCTATTTCATTTACTTTTGTCAAGGCTCTCCAGAAACAAAAGTAACAGAAGGACCTGCCTTCTTAAACCAAGTTTTATAGTTTAAGCTGGCTGGAAATAGTTATTTTTTGCCCCACAGATAACTTTCTATGCCACAGATCAATTTCTTGCCAAAAAAGCATTCATATCTGATAACACAACAAAACAGGGGAGGAGGCACATTAGAGCAAGCAAATGCATTCATAAGTTCAGACTGTAGTTGGAGGCAGGAGACAATTAAAGAAGGAAATTCAAAGTATAAGGCATTTCCTGAGTATTAATGAGCGGGTGGTAGTGTTTGATAGTCAGGGGCAGGATGGGTTCTGCAACCAGCACAATTCATTAATCCCCCAGGCAACACAAACCGGGATTCAGCTAATTTTTTTTTTTCCCCTTTTTGCTGCTCTCATTATTTTCTTTAGTGTTTAATTAAAATTTCCATTTACTCTGACACCATTGTTCCTTCAGAGCCCAACGCTGTCTGTATGTCTGAACAGTGCTACCATGGTAAGTGACATCTGTAAAATTATGGAATTAATACCTGGTGCAAAAGGCCAGATAACTTTTCAAGTTTAAGAAAGTTCTCCTAATCTTCTAAAGACTAACACATCCTCTGTCTTAGAAACAGAAAGGACTCAGAGATGTGATCCTTTCTGCTAATTTAGAAGATGGTCTCCATTATCCTAGTGGTAGCAGATAAAGAGAGAATCAAGAACTGGAAAGAAACAAATGATTTTCAAGCTGCCTTTCAACTCCTCAGGAAGACATATTACAATCACACATTATTTAACACCTCCTCAATCAGCAACCACCCCATCCGTCATGTTAACTCCACACTAACCTGTGACTGGGGCATCTATGTCCAGCAAATTCTTTTCCTGGCGGAGAATTGAAGCTCCCTCTGTTATTATTCTCAAAGCAACGCTCTCTTCCAGTCTCCCTTCTTTCATAAGGTGTGCCTTTAAGATATCCACACGGGGTTTTCCATCGTTATCAAACACTTCCTTCGCTGTGAGCCGGTGACTTGGAGGAAATGGGACAGCTGAGTGGAAAAAAAAAAAAAAATCTGGTCATTTTTTACAGTAAAGCTTCTATTGCTGATGATGACACATTTCAAAAGACATCTCTGCTGCAAAACAGTGTTATCGTGAGTTTTCTACTGCCTCTTATTATTCGCTGTTGAAATTGTACATAGATTATCAAAGATACTATTAAAGCATGTGTATTCTGCAGGCAACATTATTCAGGCATGCAAGAACAACTAATTCATACTTATGAAAAATGAGAAGAAGATTTAGGCCATATTTGCAGGCAGATATATTCAAACAAGCCCCCCAAAAGTCATGGGAATATCAAGGAAAGAAGGGAATGGAGCTTAAAATGCTCTGGTAGCACTAGAAAAACATTGATTTAATGCTCTCCTCCATTAAGAGCGTAAAACGCACAAACAAGTGCAATATCTAATTTCTGTGCATGGACACGCATACACACGCTCCAATTAAAATGGCAAAATCCAAGACAGACCTCACTCTAACGACTCGGAGTAGGGGGATGGAAGATGTCTTCCCCACGTAAGTAATAGTTAGCTGCACAAGACACACTGGCAGCCCATCAAAGCACGCCCGAGCGCCGAAACAGACCACTCCATCCCCGGCAGGGCAGAGGATGTACCAGACTGCAGTTGGAAATAAATAAATGAATAAATAGGCCAGGTTGCCCTAGCAACATGGCAGCAGCCACGGGCGAGCTGCGTTCTGCCCTCACATAAGGTCTGAGGGCCAGCTTCAGATGCTCCTGCTCTCCGGGAGCCAGCTGGAGCCAGAAGGCTGGGAAGGTGATGCTGGCAGCTGCTGGGATGAGGCTGGAGCGTTATCCCAGCTTAACCCCCTTTTTCCCCGATCGGCTAACGACGCCGATCCCTGCCGCGGGGGGGTCGGGTTATTGGGGAGCTGGAGGAGGTGGCCACAGGGCTGGTCATGGCTGGATGCATCCACAGGGCAACCCCATCCCCTGCCAAAGGGCTCTGTCTCCCACACAGCATCTCACTGGCAGCTCTGCCACGTCATGAGACATGAAACCCTAACGAGGCAGATCAATGGACCCCTTAGCTTCAATTTTCTTCTCGTTTCACCACCGGTGTACTTTAGGAACAGCCCACAAATCACACACACCATTTAAAGCCCAAGCCAAGAACTCTTCACTTACACTACCAGAAGTACCAGAGCAGATAATAAGCCATTTCACTTCGTGCAGTTATTTTCCACAGATATTTTAACTGCAAACATCTTCAGAAAATATGCTCCTTTTTTTTTTTTTTGGCTCAGTTTTTTTTTTCCTCTTTGCTACACTACCTCCAGTAGTCCATTCACTGAAATACTGGATTAATGAATGCATATCTTCACAATACACTGAAACCCAAATGCTCTCAGACAAAAGGGGGAGAAGGTGAAAGTTTCTGACATCCCTGACACCACCGGGATTCTCCTGAAGCAATGACACCTACAACCAACAACGAAGTTAAAACACTGGAAAGCCCTGCCACTCAATCAACCAGAACTCCTGGTTCCATCTTCATGGTTGAAAGGGACCTTTGAGATCATCAAGTGCAACCACAAAAAACAAACAACAACAAAAAACCAAACACAACAACCACAAACGGACACAATCTCAGGCACTAGAGCGTGCCCTGAAGTGCCATGTCTACACGTTTCTTAAATACCTCCAGGGATGGTGACTCCACCACCTCCCTGGGCAGGCCGTTCCAGTGCCTGACCACTCTCTCAGTAAAGTAATTCTTCCTAATATCTAATCTAACCCCCCCCGCCGCAACTTCAGACCATTTCCTCTGCTCCTGTCATTATTCCGTTGTGAGAAGAGGCCAACACCCACATCTCTACACCCTCCTTTCAGGTAGCTATAGAGGGCAATGAGGTCTCCCCTCAGCCACCTCTTCTCCAAACTAAACACGCCCAGTTCCCTTAGCCTCTCCTTGTAGGACTTATTCTCCAGACCCCTCACCAGCTTGGTGGCTCTCCTCTGGACATGCTCCAGCAGCTCAATGTCCTTCTTGTAGTGAGGGACCCAGAACTGAACACCATACTCAAGGTGAGGTCTCACCAGTGCTGAGTACAGAAGCACCATCACTTCCCTACTCCTGCTGGCCATGCCATTCCTTTAAATTATTTTTTTGTGAATGGTAGTTCTATGATAGGCTGTTAAAGACCAAAACCTAATCTCGCCCCGCTTTTCACAGCTACTGCAGTTAAGCTTGTCCCATGACACTCACAAAAATGAGGTTATATGCTTTGTCAGTCTTTCACATATATCTGCAGCAGACCCTCAGAAGCAAGACAGCTATACACATGAGCTATAAAGAATTCATTATGCAACACAGAAAAAGAATAATCATTGCAAGAAAAAGGAAGGGGAATGAGAACTCAGCAGTTCTACAAGCTTCCATCCTCCTCCTGCAAAAAAAACCCCAACAAACCCAAAACCCCAGAAGGCTGGCTAGTCCTAATGATCCTGCATTTCCTGCATGGAGGAAAGAGGAGAGGGAAAAGTTGTTAATTATCTACGATCAGTTTGGCTGGAAGAAGCATGTACCATTAGCTTGCATTCCTTTGCAAGACAATTGCCTCTGTTCTTCCCCAAAGGTATCATGGTGTAAAACCCTATGCAGCATATTATTACTTTGAGGTTAATACTATATATGCATGTACACTGAAAGGAGTTTTTTACATTCATAAAGATAGAACAAAACAGACAAGGAAGCAAGCAAACAAAAGCTATGAAATGTTACCTACCGATTAAGAGAAAAATATAGCATACACTGCAGCACTACAAAATCTCTGCAGACAAATTTCTAAATAACATGTACCAGTGGCTAATTAAAGAAAAAAAAGATACTGTTCCAATAGCAGATGATTAATGATTAATTAGCAAAAACATGAGCGACTGAATAGAGCACAAATTGCATCTTCCATTATGAGAATATTAATTTTGTATGTACACATACACAGAGCTTCCACAGAAGAACAATGGAAGAAATGGTCATGTTCATGTGGAAGCCAAACATCGTTCTTTACTGGTATCACCCACAAATACCTGGATCAACCTAAATCCTTTTAGAAACATAGCAAACACTTAATTTCTATTGCTTTATATATATATAACACCGTTACCATCTGGATACTCAGGTATCCATCAGGTTCTCCATACCTGCGTCCTTTTTCTACTTTAAACCTATGCTATTAGCACTTGCAACAAATCAGTCTCTCTCACCCACTGGTTTGGCTTCTATTAGAAATTAAGCCAAGAGTCTCATCAGAGAGCAACCACACACGCAGCACACACAAGGGGGAAGAGCACGGGGCTGGGAGATGAGTCCACCAGGGAGAGGCAGGAGGAGACAGGAGCGTTGGGTTGAAGGGCCAGCACCCAGCTCCTCACCATGGCACAGGCTCAGGGAGCACTTCTGTAAAAAGAGCTGGGAATCTGTATTAAGCAAAGGCCATAAAAAAAGGGACTGGTGATAAAACTTGCATGTACATAGCATATGGATTTCTAGGAAGTTTAGTGACAAATCCCACCACAAGACCACCACACAAGAAAGTCACGCACGTTTATCCATACTCTGCAGTACTTAAAACCTGGACTGGTCTCCACCTCTGTTTACACTTACTTCTTTGTATTGGCCTTAAAACAAACATAAATAAAACCCAAAAAACCAAACAAAACCAACCAAAAAACATCCCAGCCAAACAACCAAAAAACTGCAACCAGAACCTAGGTATTCACCATGTGAAATACCACCCTGGTGGTTTGGTCATAAAACATGGACTGCAACAAAAACCAAAGAAACAAAGTTTTTAACCCTCTACCTCAGCCTGTCAGAAGCATCCTCCCAAGATCTGAAAACTCAAGAAAATACTCTTTAACCACTTACTTTTGTGGTGGTTTTTTTTTCTTGTGCTATCAGGTCTCTTGAGCATCTTCCAGCAAATGGAGAAAAAGATCAACCTGCTATTTTACAACTCTTGCAGGCTCCTGCAAAACCCATCTTACCAATAACACAGCCCCTGTAAAGGTCAGACACATCGTTACTGTTTCTCTCAAATATTAAGCAGCCTCTCTAGAACAAATAAATAAACCATAAAGAGCTGTGCTTAATTAGAGTGGACCATGTGTGCACACATAAATAAAATACAAGCATGCCGCAAAGCAAGCATTATTTTGTTTATATATTATTCATTTAAAAATGAAGTTGTACACTAAATTAATACTCTCAGAGGAGGCTGAGAGTAAGAAAAACTATCTTTCATCAATATTCAAGTTTTCTGCAAATTATCTCCCTCTGTAATGCTCATCCTGTAATTTCATATAACTTATGTCTATACGTAACTATGTTTATAGCACACCGTACTTTCATTAAAAATAAATGCTATCCTCTTCATTTGTTGGGAAAACACACCAATAACTATCATCATCTCAACAACACAATGCATTGCATTCGTCTGATGGCAATTTGCAATTCTGCATTTTGAGAAACATCTGAGCTACAAGAGTGGCTACAGCACAAGGTATTAAACAGGTCAACACTTAAGTCTACACATGTTAAAAAAAAAGGTCACTCTGCAGCTTGATTTTTTATGTCTATTTATTCATAATTTTAAGACTGAAGATACATAGTATTTTTCCTATCTTAGAAACTTAGAAATACACTTCAGAAAGTATATTTCTGAAAGCCAGGAACATTTTAAATTCCCAACTAAGACTTTTCTGCAGGCTGATTTTGAAAATCTACCCATGTTTTACCGTGCGGTTCAACACATGGCATATTCTTGGGCATTCCTGCTAAACAGTAACAATGTCCACGCTGGAGTATTTACTATTTGTAATCAGAGTTCTGCATTTCTGTGCCATGCTGTGTCTGACCAAACGTGTGGTCCAGTATGTAAAGCAGCAGCCAAATATCAATATTTTGACCTCATGGTTAATAGTTTAATACTAAATAATTCAGAGTATGTTCCTGCCCAGTTG